TCTGTAAGCTTCCGAATATAATAGAATAATGTCTCTGAGGTTGTCTCCAGGTTAAGGTTTTTGGTTCCCAGCACCTGTGTATACAGTCTCTCTTCTCCTTGGGGTTGAGCAGACTACACACATAAGGGTTATTATACTTTCCAAAAGAATAATTTTAGAGTTACATAGTTTAAACCAGTTTTCATTCTTGTATACACAAATAAATCTACTGGAAGTAGAGGAAGTAGGAATAAGTCGATCAGAATTAGAGTATGTAATACTAGATGCATACCTGTAAACATTTTAAAAGTAACTAAAAAGATGCTATTTAGGAGGCCTCTGTTCCATCTAGTTGTGCAGCTATTGAATTTTTTGTCATGTCCCTAGATCTGTGTCCTTAACCACTGTGGGAAAATGATATCAATATTTTGCATCAACACAATTCTATGGTTCCATGATATTTAAGGCACTGAAGTAAACACAAAACCCATAAGAAGACTGTAAACTTTTAGAAGTGTTTTCTTGTCCCAGTTTTGAGATCATAGCTAAAAACTTTCAATTCCCTTTCATGGACAGTTTGTTAAGCTGATGCCCCAACTACTTCCCATATTGGATTCTAACTCTCCCTCTTTATAGTTCACAGATTCAACTACCAGGAACTCCCAGATACTGGATGCCCAAGGATAGTGGAATTAACTGAAACATCCCCTGACCTGGAAGCCTGGGAAATCCAGCTAACTGGATCCCAATTGCCTCCTAAACATCCCAGCTTGTTGGAACCCTGTTCTCAGGGGAAACCCCCTGCATGCCGCTCTGTGGCTATCTTCTCTTATCTGGAGAGGTAAGTAGCAACATTTGCTTTTATCTAAGTGTCTCTGTGCTGTGTTCTACTCTCCAAAGAACTTTTACCATACCTAAAAAAGATGACTATGGGCCCTACACAATGCAGAAGTGGTAGAGGACACTATTTCCTCTCTGAATGTGGAAAGGGTCACTTTGACAGGTACTGTAAAGTGAAATATGAAGCTGTCTGACCCAGAAAGCAGGCAAGGGATTCACTTGAGCGTTCTTTTGAAAACGGCTGTTTGTTCACGGCTGCTTATTCACACCTTCTAAGGTAAGACCATAGAAAACAATAACTGTCATGTTTCACTCCACCATGTATGTTCCGATTTTTAAAAAGATCAATCTAACCTGGGATAGGTTTATATAAGAAAATATTAACTCTATTTTAAAAAATAACTTATGAAAGAAATCTCAATAGAATTACTCTTAGAACTATGGATATTTGCAACCGAAATGAGCCCCAAATTTGATTCACTTATATTATTTAACAATATAAAAATTATTTTACAGCAAACTATGCCAGCCTATGTTAGTTACTTGTTAAGATAATGACCTGCCCCTCCCAACAAAGTGTTGATTACATTCTCTACTTCGTGTTCATCCTGTTGCCGTGTATTCGTGTGCATTATATCTGTTTGGCCCAATGTTAGGCTACCAGTTGGGCTGCTAAATGCAAGGTCAGCAGTTTGAAACCACCAACAGCTCTGAGGGAGAAAGCTGAGGCTTTTTACTCCTGTAAAGAGTTCCAATCTCGGGAACCCACTGAGGCAGTTCTACACCGTCCTATAGAATGGCTATGAGTCAGAATTGACCTGGTGGCTGTCATTGGTTCATTTGTTTTGTTTTGTTTTAGGTTTGCCCTACTGCGAATATCTAGTTGAATATATAATTAGTTCTTAATAAATATTTCTTCAAGTAAGTTTATAATTTTTACCTTGAAATGCTCATGATTTCACTTCTGTCTTACTATGCTTTTGTACGTCCAAAGAAGAAGCTCTCTTTCTCCATTCATGGTCCATGTTGAGTTCAGAATTTGTCATTTCTAACATTTCTTTATGATCTCAAATTTATTAATAGGAAAGTCAATATACTGTCAATGTTTCACTTGGCAGTAGTCACCTAGCTTGTGCTTTCATTTCTGAGCAACTGACTGGTCAACACCTCTGACCACATCAGATTTTACCATCATAGCATCCTGCCCTGGGGGCTGTATCCTACCACAAAGCTGCGTGGTGGGCCCAGCACCTCCCACTGTTTTTCTGTTTCACAGGAAGATGGGCTCAAGCCTGTAGTTTACTGGCCAAGTAGGACAGGTGATTACATTTAAGTGACTTTTATTTATTCACTGAAATGGTTTCTAAATAATTTGTGCTTGAGTTGTTCCTCTCAAATGCTTTGAATCAGGCGATACACAATAGCATGGCGACTTTGTACAATAGCTTTTAAAGGCAAGATAACTTACTTATATACACACATTTGTAGTAAAATTGTTGGCTTTCATAATTCATTTTTCTCTTATTTCATTTATTAGAAAATACAATTTCTAAAATTATGCCACATATGATAAACTGTTACTAATGTCCACAATTTCTCAATACATGTGCCATCTAGACTGACACACTTTACACATTGAGAAAAAAATCCTAGTTTCCTTCCAAATATTTCTTGTTCCAAGGAAGTGGAATATTGATTAATATTGATTTGAATGTCTTCAATAATTTTGCATTAATTATCACCTTTATAAACCATAGTCATATAAATTTGTTTTTTAATTAATGAATGTATACACATCTTGCCTATTTTTAAAATATTCACTCTAAATACATAACTTTATTATGCTATTGTTAATAATATACTAAAAATAATTATTTCGATTGATTGTGGATCTTTAGAAATGCTATGGCTTTCAAAATCAATGCGAGATTCACTCATATCCCTATAATTACTTCTATTAGTTGGTCGGTAACATTTTTGCTTGTTTTCTGCGTAGAAGATCATAGCACCAACAAATTTTTTAAGTCCCAGGCTTCTGATTTTCTGCAATAATGAAATGTGCTAAAGGAGCTTCATGATGATATTGAAACGAAGTGGTATTAGTTGCTATTTTCCCTTCTTGATATATGGAAATAGGAAAAGAAAATAACCTTGGGAAATATTTCTAAAACACAAAGTTGTTCTTTTCTCTTATTTAGACCTGTCAAACACCGTGACACTTTCCCACAAATTTGCCCATTTGATCTAAACTATCACTATTTTTGATATCAGTTAATCATAAAATCTTTTAAAATTTCTTTTTGCTGTCCATAGCCTCTGCTATGATGTCCCATTATTTTATTTTTTTCATTCCAGTTAATATAAGGAGTCATGTCTTCAAGGTCAAAGGAGGGAAGGGTCTGATTAATGAATAGAGATGGGTCTGAGATAACCACAGACCAGAGATGAAGTAATATTGGCTGTGAGTCAGTGATTAAGCATGCTTGTTTATTACACAGTTTTCTTTACATATTTTATAATAAACGGTCATATAACTATGTATTGCTTGTGTTTGTTTATAACTCAAACCTAAATTAGCTTGTTCTGCAGGGATTAAGAAGTGGACTTAATTTCCTTCACTTCTTTATTGCCATATAGTTCTGACATGCATATATCATGATACATTTTCACTTCCTGTTCAATAAAGGATTATATAGTCCAAAAATGTGTTCTCTAAACGCTGGATTGCTTATTACCTATTTTTCAGGTCTTTAAAGAATAAAGAGTTTTAGGATATAACACGTATACAACCATGTGTTATCACACCCTACCTACCCAATTAGCCAGAGTTTCCGTGCAGCGATACAGCAGAAGAACTGTGGTTTGTGCTGGGTGTGTTTTTAAACCAGGAAAACGAGATAAGAATAACACTGACTAGTGTTTTGCAGAGATGGAAAGTAACAGATTATTTCTAATTTTAGTCATAAATTCAGAATTTAGGACATATCTAAAGTTTTTGGTTGTAGAGGAGGCTTTGGTTACAAGAATCACGACCTTCCCCCTCTAATCAGGTGTGTATGCACATGAGTGTGTGTATGTATGTGTGTGGTGGTGTGTGTGCGTTTTGTCAAGTATTAGTCAAGAGAAAAGGAAATCTCTGTAAACTTTAAGAAAATTGTTAGAACTATTTATGCTGTCATGTTAATTCAAAATGCTTCCTAACCTTTTAAATAGAAGTACTGAGAGTTTATTTGTTATTTCTGAGTCGCGTTATTTTTCGCTATAGTTGATAATATGTAAACTAGGATAGTTTTGCTCTTCTTCATGAAGAGAATAGACATAGAATCACAATTACTATGTTGCCATAACAAGAAATCTTACCGCTAAAGTTCCACTAAGTCCAGAATAACTGTGTTTCAGTTTGAATTCTCTTACCAGGGTTCTGTGATCTTTTGCAATCCTGCTATTCATTGAGATACACAACCTGCAAATGAAAAAAGTTGTATTTCTTGCAACCATCTTCAAAATGTGAAATGAATTTTGATTTTTAAAGTCTAAGTACTATATTTGTTAAATGAATTCATACTATTAAATAATGTTACTAGTTAAGCAGACATTTGATTAGTTTTGTTAAAGATGACAGCGGTGATAATTTGTTGTTGATGGCAAAAATAATAATAGGAACAAAAGTTGAATTCTAATATGTTTTCAAAAACTAGACAAGAAGAATTTTATAATTCTGTTTGCTAAAAAACTCCATTCATGGACATCCAGTTAATTCTGACTCAAAGGAACCTTATATACATATCAATTATAACCAAATAATATAAAACAATTAAAAATAAAAAACTATGTGTTGCTATTCAGTATCAATGATATTCAACATTTTAATTTAAAATCACAATGAAGTTGAATTAAAGCATGCATTATATTTCCATGATATTTTTTAAATGGTTGGCTATTATTTTACAACAAAGTGAATTTTTCATAATTACTTTTACCTGGCTTTTTATATATTCTCATTTCCTTTTTTTCCATTTCTTAAGCCCTGTATAGAGAGGAACATTTTTGTATTCTAATTATTCCAATGATTTTGTTTTCCTATGGAGGCAAGAGAAGGGTACGGGGGAAAAAAAGTTCAATTTCATCTTGTTCAGGAAAACTGTGTGGAGAGGAGACATTTGGATTCATCTCTGAGTTTCATGGAAAGTACTAATTATATGATGGGATTGATCCGTGATCGGAAGTCTCATCAAGACTTGGGTATGAATTTTCGACAGTTTTGCTTCTGTGTAATTTTAAGATACTCAGAATTTTATGTAAGGAAAAATAAAAACAGAGGACAGCATGTACTCTGACCCCCTGTATACTTCCTTAAATCAACATTCCAAAACTCTTGAACTTTCCCCTTTTATTTCATAAACTACTTAGAGCCCAGTCACAAACACACTTGAGGAAGTTTGGGATAGTGAAGTGACAGGATTTGGAGCCATGAAGATTTCATTTTATCAGATTTTTACCTCTCCATTTTAAAGTCTAAGGGAATCTAAGTTGAAGAGTCTGCAAGCATTTTAATTTCTTAATCAAATAATGTAGCACACAAATATGTCATATTTGCCTTAACAGATTTTTGTGAGATTTAATTTGGATAATATATATTTGAAAGTGCTTCTTATCCTAAAATGTTATAAATTACTCACATTTTGTAATTCATATTACATAAACAATATGTTTAACCATCTCAAATATTGATTTTCCTCATCCATAGCAATTGCCATTTGTACTTCATAGGTTAAATGAATAAATTATATGCTTAGTAGAAACAATGGTTAAATCTAATTTTTGGTATAAATTATTAGTGCAATTTATAAAGCATTTTTCAATATTCAGTAAATGGTTAATATTTCTCAAAGAAAAGAAAGTGTGTTTCCTTGTTTTGTCCAGAGACCAAAGTTTAATCCTTATCCAAAATTTTTAGACTCTTCTGTTTTAGCCTTTGTATGCCCTTCATTATAATAAAAATAAAACACAGTACCATTTACTAAATGCTACTATGTATTTGGCATTATTGACACTAAGGTCATGTGACTGAATTTAATTTCAATAGTACTCATTCAAGTTGTATTTATTCCCCCCTTCTTCCTCCCCCTTGTTTTTCTTTTTCTTTTTTTCATGCTTATTTCTCTTTTCTCCCTTGCATTCTCTGTGAGAAACCAGGATTCAAAAGGTAAATTATTCATGAGACGTTAGCTAGTTAGTAAATATATATATATCTAAATTTCAGTACAGGTTTAACTCCCAGGGCTTTGTTTTCTTGACTATATTGATGTTCTTATTTTAATATTGAGTTTCATTATATTATGATCTTACATCTTGTAAAAATACATGGGATCTTGTTAAACATATTTTATAAGGCAATAAATGTGTTTTAAGATAAAGTTTGAGTGTCATAGAATCAAGTAATATGGAACAAAATTAATTCATGTTATTATAGTTTTAAAATTGTGTGGAGCCTTCAAAAACTTTGTGGAAAATGGAATTAAAGTTTTCCACAAATTATTTGAAACCCCCTTACATAATCAATGGGAATATTATTATGGAGATGATGCTTCTAGTACCAAAAAAGGCTAAGTGTTCTATTAATCTGAACTTCTTGTCTACAGGAATGAATAAATGTTATAACTGTAACGTTAGACTGGCAAAATATGACACCTCAACACAATGCCAAAGGCGAAGGTCTCCACTAATTCCAAGCAACTATAGAGAAAATTGTAAGTTCTATATTCCATTTGTTTTACTCTTTCACAACACTGAGTTGAATCTTGGAATTTATGTAATTAAATATATAACAATTATTCAGTTTATTTTTACCTTTGTGTAGGAAGCAGAACTGAGATTTATTTTAATACAATATTGAAATATATGGCACATTGAATAGAAAACACCAAAAATCTCTTGCTGCCAAAAGAAACAATGAGATACCTTATGATAATAATGTCAGTATCATAGGAGAGTCTAAGAAATCACTAAGCAATTAGCTTTAAGATAATGAGTGGGAATGGGAAAAAAGAAAATTCTCTTCAAAGTTATGTCATTAAAAATTATAGAGCTATGACTCAACTGGTATTTATAGAAATAGTTCTGAATGATGAATAAATATTCTCTAATAACTTTATCACTCCAGAATAACATTGATAATAGAACTTGAGATCGCTCTCACAAAAGTAAAAATGGATAACCTCACAAATGAATTTTAATGAAAAATTTTAAATAAACTATTAGAAAATAGCATTACATCATGAGTTAATTCATTTAAAATTATAGGGAAATATGATATGATTATATCCATAATTATGTAAAACCTATGACCAGTAATATATTTTATTTAAAACACATATTTTTTTTTAAGACACATATTTATATATAGAAAGCTTATGTGTTCAACTGCTTAGTGGATAGTGGTTAGAACCTACCAGCTGCTTCATGAGAGACAAAGGTTGTAGTATGCTTCTGCAAAGATTATAGTTCTACTTTGCCATGCAGTGATACTACTAGACAGAATCAACTGAACATCAATAGATTATATATATGCATATATACATATATTCAAAAGTCACAATTATGCTAATAGATGAATTCTAGAAACATTTTCATTAAAATTAGTCAAAGGCAAGAATTTTTGTTTATGTTGGACTTTATATTGCTTTGTTGATACTAGCCAATGAAATTAATAAACAAAAAGACAAAAGCAGTATTACAAATCAAATCAAAAAAAGAAAACAAGCATTTAATAGCAAAATCTGTCATCTTTTAAGTGAACAAAATCTTTTAAAGCACATCACTAAAATTATTAAAACAGTAAGGAGACTGAATATGTGAATTAGATAAAAAATAAAAGCATAAGATTAATTGTCTTCATAATTAAAGTATAAGGACAATATGATGGAAAGAAATGCCATATGCAAGGGGACATGGAAATGGTTATCTTTTTCTTATACTTTATGATTATTTTTTTAAATACATTTTGTATATAAAAGCTAAAATAAAAATAAACTAAAGAAAGTGCAACAATAGAAAAATATATTTGGAGAGCAAAATATTACAAAACTAGAGAACATAATAAGTATGAATCTTGTAATAGTGGAAGATGTCAAAAATAGAAAAGAAATGAAATGAATAAATATCCTAGGCATTAGTGAGCTGAAATTGTTATTAACCATTTTCAATCTGGAAATCATACTGTTAACTGATGGGAATGACACGATCAAGAGGATTGGCCTTGCAATCATAGCCAAAAAGGACATTTCAAGATCTAATTTGAAGCACAATGCAGACTGTGATAGGATTATATCTATTCACCTTTAAAGACATCCAATCAATACAACTGTTATTCCAATTTATACACCAGCATGTAAAGATAGTGATGAAGAAATTGAAGAATTCTACCAACTACTTCAGTGTGAAATTGATCAAATGTGCAATCAAAATGCATTGATAATTATTAGCGATTGAAATACAAAAGTTGGAAACAAAGATGAAGGCATAGTTGTTAGAAAATATGGTCTTAGTGATAGAAAAGAAACTGGAAATCACATGATAAAATTTTGCAAGACCAGACACTATATATTTTTGATAGCCGGGTACCATCAGCTTTCTTCACCACATTTTTTTATCCACCCATTTTGTCTCCAGTGATCATGTAGGGAAAGTGCCAGATTATTAGAACAAATGTTCTTGTATTGAGGGAGTATTTGAGTAGAGGCCCAATGTCTGTCTGCTACCTTAATACTTAACATATAAATGTATGTACATAGATTTATTTCCCTATTATCACCTATAAATATATTTACATATGTGCATGCCTGTATTTAGACCTCTATAAATGTCCTTTGCCTCCTAGTTCTTTCCTCTATTTCCTTTTACTTTCCCCTTGTCCCACTATCATGTTCACACTTCATTTGGGTTTCAGTAATTCCTCAGTTTTATTGCCCTTGATTAAGCTCCACCAGGTATTCTATGACCTTTTATCCATTGATTTTAGTTCACTCGTTGTTCCCTTGTCCCTGGGTTGATTGGCAACCCCCTTCCTTTCTCCCCCCTCCCCCTCCCTTGTGTCCACCCACAATCTTCTGTCCAGTTGTTTTCTCCTCCAAATTGTTTATCCCACCTATCTTATCTTGGTAGACATGCAAAGACAATAGAAAGCACAAAAACAAGACAAAGCCAAACAAGACGACAAAGGAAGACAAAACAAAAAACAACAAAAAGAAAACCAATGACAAAAAAGGAAAAACCTATAAATAGTTTCAAGTCTGTTTTTTGACCTTAGGAGTTTTCCAGTTGAGTCTGATAGGGTGCCACACTGTCCCCAGTCTATTTTGGGTATTCCCCAGGGACTACATTGCTTGGCTCCCCTTCCTGCTCTGTTGCATGACCTTAGTGTTTCGCCACAGTGTGATGGGGTTAGATTGGGCACAATTCCCGCACTGGATCTCCAATATTGTTTCCTATAGTGCTATGGTTCATTGAGGGATGTTGTGTCTCGTGGTGGGAAGGCCCTATGGTCCTCTCTGTACATCAGCTGCTCTGAGCAGGAATATCATCTGGGGTCTTAAAGGCTTGAAGATAAACAAGTGGCCATCTAGCTGGGAAGCAACAAAGCCCACAGGGAAGAAGCACACCAGCCCGTGTGATCACAAGGTGTCAATGGGAACAGGTATCAGGCTTCAAAGACCCAGATCAAAAATCATATCAATGTGGATGAGGGAGAGCATGGAGTTTAGACCCAAAGCTCATCTATAGACAATTGGACATCCCTTTCCAGAAGGGTCACAAGGAACCAGTCAGGGTGCAGTATAGCACCAATGAAACATACAACTTTCCTCTAGTTCTTTAATGATTCCCCCCGTCCCCCCGCCGCTATCCTGACCGCAAGTCTACCTTATGAATCTGACTAAACCAGAGCATGTACACTGCTACAGATAAGAGCTCTCAACACAGGGAATCAGGGACTGATAAACTCCTCAGGACCAATAAGGGTAATAGAGATACTGGGAGATGAAGGGAAACTGGGGGAGGAAGGGAGAACCAATCACAATGATCTACATATAACCCCTTCCTAGGGGGATGGATAACAGAAAAGTGGGTGAAGGGAGTGAGCAGTCCGTGTAAGACATGGTGGGGGAAATTATAAATTTATAAATTATCATGGATTCATGAAAGAGGGAGGGGGAGTGAGGGGGAAATGAGGAGCTCAAGTAAAATGAAAATGCTTTGAAAACAATGATGGCAACATATGTACAAATGTGCTCGACACAAATGATATATGTATGGATTGTGATAAGAGCTGTAAGAGTCCCCAATAAAATGATTTTTTTAAAAAAGACAAAACAAATTTGCAAGACCAACAATTTGTTCATAGTGAATACATTTTTCAACAATGCAAATAGTAACTATACACATGACCTTCTCCGCAGAAATCAAATTAGTTGCATCTATGAGAAGAGATGGTGAAGAAGCTCAATATTAGCAGCTAAACCAGTCTAGGGACCAACTGTGGAACAGACCATCAATTGCTCATATGCAAGTTCAGGTTAAGCTGAAGAAAATTAAAACAAGTCCACAAGAGTCAAGATATGACCGCAAGTCTATCCGATCTGAATTTTGAGAATATCTCAAGAACAGATTGAATGCATTGAGCACTAATGATGGAAGACCTAATGAGCTGTGAAAGGACATTATGAACATTATACATGAAGAGAGCAAAACGGTCATTAAAAATACAAGAAAGGAAGAAAAGATCAAAGTGGAAGAGAGAAGAAAACTGAAGCTTGCTCTTCATAGCTAAAGCAAATGAGAGAAATGATGAAGTTAAAGAACTGAACAGGAAACTTCCAAGGGCAGCTCGACAAGACAAGGTGAAATATTAGTATATGCAAAGTCCTAGAATTAGAAAAAGCAAAGGAGAAGAACACACTCAGCATATCTTACTGAAAGAACTCAAGAAAAAAGTCTGGCCTTGAGTCACACTACTGAAAGACCTATGAAAAAAATATTGAATGATAAATGAAACATCAAGAGAAGATGGAAAATACACAGTCCCAACATCACAAAGAATTGGTGAGGTTAGTGATTGCAACAATCGTAATACCAGGCAGAGATTTTTTCTGCTGTGCATAGAGTCGGTATGGGTCAGAACCAACTCATTGGTATCTAACAAAGAAATATTATAAGTAATTTAATGGAAAGACAAACTAGAGAACCCACAAATAAAGTTTCATTCATTTAGAATGCATTATATACTAAAGATGGTATTTATATTTGTGAGGATACCTTGGTTTATTTATAAAATAAAGTACTTCCTTGGAGAATAAGCAACTTTTATTGAGTTTCTACCTAATTTATTATGCAAACACACTAAAAAAACAAATAAGACAAATAGCACTGTAACAAAATATGTGCATAATTTGTTTTTGATGTTAAAAATAATGAAGATATTTGTATTATATAGTTTTTAAAAAATAGCCAAGGCCAAAGGAAAGTTCTATTAAGGCAACTACAGGAAAATTAACTATTTCAGCATGCCAAAACACCATAAATAAAGTTAAAAATAAAAACTAGGCTATCCCAATGGAACACATCCATCCCATTGCTAGGAACTTCACAATTCTCAGAACTGTGCCCAGGGCAGCTTACATCATGGAATAAGAATAATTTGATCTTATTAGTCAATGACTGGTAGAAAACAAAAACAAAAAACAACCTGTAGCAGGTTGAAAATCCAACCACCTTTAGCAGGAAGTGAATAAATGATCCTTCTGAAGAGAAAATGTCCTCCTAAGGGTAGATTGCAAAAAAGTACGGCTAGAATTTAGCTAAAATTTTTCACTTACATATAACATCCCAATCAACAACTAAATAAAAACAAAATATTCCTGAAGAGAAAAATAAAATAAATTTTCAATAAAAAAATTCCAAATATGTATTAGTCACATATTAGAAGTTAAATTAATAAAAATCAAAATGGAAAAAATTTACATATGAAATTTATAAAGCTAAATAGCTAAATATTCTTTACTAAGGAAAATGTAAGAAAATAGAGGTTAATTTTTATTTTTGGTGCTGTATAAAATGGCAAAATCTGAATTGTAATTTTTAATCATTACAAAAGCTGTAAATGCAACTGCACTTACACGTTTAAGCGTTTTCCTAGAGAAGTACTTAAAATATGCAGTAAGATGCATATAAATATATATGGTATCATTATTTCTAAAATGTAAAACTTGAAATAAATTCAAAGATCTATTTTAAAAATTCACAACATGTCAACTTAGATTTTGTTCACACCGTATGTCACCGAATAAAAAAGAAAGAGCCTTAAAAGTCAAGAAAGACGATTTTCACCGGGACGTTTTCATAAGTTCATTTCCAGAATATGATAGATGCCTATATGTATATTTCAATATGTCTTTAAAAGATGATAAAGAAGAACTGTCTACATTTATTACTGTATTTGCAAAGAAAATCAAAATTGTCAACTTTCATCTCTACCAAGAGAAAATGAAGGAATTGAAAGGAGACACACACCCCAAGCTTTAGAGTCGGTTCCAACGTATGGAAATGTGCCCGCGCAGAGTCCGACTGCTCCGTAGTATGGACTCCCAAGGCCACGATCACGATAGAAACGGACGACCGCATCTTTCTCTTGCATGGCAGCTCATTCGTTCAAACTACCAACCTCTCATTTAGCCGTTCACCGCTTTGCCATTCATCACCAAGGCTCCTATGTGTGCAGAAGAATAACAAAGCAAAAGAAAAACTACTAGCCTTCCTCCCAGAGAAATCACTCCAACGTTATCTTCAACACAATGGGGTCCTTTGTCTAACCTTTCTGTTTTTCTTTGGCAGCATCTCAAATTTTCCTTGGCCGTTTTATTGCTGTAGCTATGGGGATCCGTTTCGTTGTTATGGTGACAATTTGGAGTATAATATTCATAAATTGTAAGTGTTAACAGAGAAATACATAGAAGCCTTGTTGATGTAACAAACGTAAATCATTTCTTTGATTAGGCAGAAGGCAACAAACAGAAGCTAGCTGTGTTAGTCAGGGTAGACTAGGGAAACAGAACCATAGAAACTCATATGTGTATAACAGAGAGTTTTATATAAAGGGTAATTAATTGTACATTAAGGAAGCATCCCAACCCAGTCCAATCCAAGCCTGTAAGTCCAATATTATCCTATATGTTCGATACCAATCTATAAAGTCCTCTGCAGACTCATGAAACACATACAAAAACGCTGAATGCAGGATGGTCACAAGCCAGTGGGTGGAAAGTCTTTGGATCCAGTGGCTTTGTAAGCATCTGGTTGAATCAGGGTAGGTCCATGTGGCTTCTCCAGCTCTAGGCACTAGCATAGTTCCATGTGTCTTGTCACTGCAATGTCTCCCAGGGAGTGAGCAGAGAGAGGGAGGTGTCTCCTGCCTCCAAGGATGAAATACCCGATTTCCCAGAATTCTCAGGAGAAAGCCATGCCCATACAGAGGCCTCATTGGCTACAATCCAATTAACAGACTTGACTCCAGCCCTTCACTCTTAATCCTCTCAAATCCCAAATTGACACCAGATTATGTAACTACTACACTAGCGAAATTGAATGAATGCACATTCTTAATGTATTTTACAATTGGTCTTAAAATTTGTAAGTGAATTTGCTAATGGTTACGTCACACAACCTTTTAAATTTCATGATTATTTTATCAGCACCATTCAACCAAGAATCTACAATACCTCTGAATGGTAAGTTAATATTTTCTGATAATTCCCAATGTAAATTGTGTACATCTGTTTATACTAGGGAGTCTGGATGGCCTAAATAATTTACAAACATCTGCTAATCTAAAGCCTGACAATTTGAACCCATCAAGTAGATCCCAGGAAAAAAGGACTAGTGAACTCCTCCTGTAAAGTAAACAAACAAATAAAAAATAAACTAAAACTCAATGGATCCGTTCTACTCTGTAGCAAATGGGGCCCCCGTGAATTGGCATTGACCTGATAAAAATGGTAACTGTGTGTATGTGCATAGTACTTAATCACACAAGCTATATTTGCTACTACTTTCTCTTTCTTTCTTTAGCAGAAAGGTGTATTTGCTTAAAATCTATCAATTCTGACTAATGGTGACTGTATAAGATAGAGTAGAATTGCCCCTGTGGGTTTACTAGACTGTAACTCTTTATGGGAGTAAAAGTCTCCTCTTTCTCTTGCAAAGCAGCTGGTGGGTTCAACTTGCTGCTCTCACCATTAGCAGCCCATCATGTAACCATTCCACCACTAGTAGAGGATGTTTCATTTTTGACACGTCTTTCTTTCGATATAAATGTGCAGGGAGGGATATAACAATGAGCATAAACATAATGGTTTCACTGTGTAAAATTTTAGAGTTGAAATGGGAAAGCTATTTAACTAGTATAGATAAGATCTGCTACAACATTCAAACAAGCAAAATTAATAACATTTTCTCCCTTTCTAGACAGTTACTGTGGCCCATGTCCTAACAACTGGATATGTTATAGAAAAAATTGTTACAAATTTTCTAATGAGAGCAAAAACTGGTACCAGAGTCGAGCATCTTGTGAATCTCAAAATTCCAGCCTCCTGAAGATATATAACAGAGAAGACCAGGTTAAATATTTATTTCAATTCTCCTTCCTATATTTAATCTTAAAATACGGGGCAAGTTAATGGAATATAAATTTGGAATAGACTGCATCTTTCTTTGAATACTGACACACTGAGTCATCTCAGACAAGACACTAAAGTTCTTGCTAAAGTCATATTTAATGAGACATTCTAGAAACCAGTATAATGTACTTTGGAAAACTTGCAATATTACTTTAATAAATGTCAAAATGAAATTGTTGATTCACTCACAATGTATTTAAATCTTTAGTTTGCCCCCTTTAAAATGTCCCCATTAATAACTTTTTAATGAAGTTTTGATTGTGACTTATGTGGAGGTTTACACATTAAATCAGTATTTCATTAAATAACATATTATTTTATTTGAGGTCATTAATTGAAAATACCCACAATGTAACATCAATTAGCTTATCATCTTCTTATAATTCCCAATTTAATTCCTCCTTCTTTCCTAACCTTTCTTGCCTTCTGAATTTTTTCCTTAGGCAAACATTGCCCTTTTGATCTCAAATTGTTCATTGTATAAGGAGTGCACAATTCATTGCTGTTATTGTTCGCATTATAAACCTCCATATTTTATGACTGAAAGTGTTAGTCGCATGTTTGAAGGGTGACTAGGGGCCATAGTTTCTCCAAATAGTAAGTCTGGTCTTTTATTCATTGTGTTCCATTTTTTAATTCACACTCTATCTTCTAATGTGATCCCTTTTAAAGCAGTTGGTGATAGTAGATGGGCACCATATAGTTCTTCTGATTTCAAGGTCATGGAGGCTGAAGTTCAAGTGGTCTGACCATTAGTCCACTGAAATAAGTGTTTCTTCGCTTGTCAAAGTTTCTTCATTCTCTGTTCCAAATGAGGTGTGACCAATGAGCTGGTCACAAACTACTGATCAAAGTAAACTTAAAATGTGGTCTTTGTTGATTATCTTATACTAATTGATATATTTTCATTATGGATAAATACATGTGTAGAAATATCCTCTCTCAACCCTATACATATTTGGGGGTATAATTTCATTTTCCTTCAAACACCTGTATAGCCTGTTTGTCTATCTATGCATCCATTTGTAGATAATTGTCATGGAAGGATTATGGGTATATTAGTATTGACCTCTGTTGCCTTTAACGCTTGTATTTTTCTCAATATTTCCCTTTACTGTCATCATTTCTGCTAATATTCCCTTGCACCCCTGGTAGCCATGAAGGATTATTTCTGTTTGTGTGAGAACCCTTTCCTGACTTTTTATAATACTGGACTCATGGAAATTTCCCTTTTGTGGTGCATGCATTTTACTAAGCATGATGCCCTTCAGAGTCATCCGTTTTATAAGGTTTAGCAGATTCATCATTATTCTTTGATGTTTCAGTTTCCGCTGTGTATATTGATGCACTATAGTCTGCTTATCAGTCTTCTACTGATGGAAATTTAGATGTTTTTCAACTTTTATGTATTACAAATAATGCTGCAATGAACATAGGTGTGCATATGTCTATTCATTTCGGAGTTCTTCTTTTCCTAGGATATATATTTAAGTAGTGGGATGTATGGATCATAAGGGATTTCTGTCTCCAAATGCTAAAGGAAATATCATTGTGTTTTGCACAGTAATTGTACCATTTCACAATTCCATCAGCAGTGCATGACGGTGGTTCCAGTCTCTCCCTACTCTCCCCAGCATTTGTGGTTTGCTGAGGTTTTACCCTTTGTTATTAATGCTGGGGTGAGATGGTGTCTCACTGTTGTTTTGATTTACATTTCGCTATGGCTAAAGAAAGGCATCCTTTCTTTAGTGAAAGGGTAGTTAAAGGGTTACACACGGAGCATCTGACCACAGATTGGCCGTTTGAACCAATTAGCTGCTCCACAGAAAAAATATACATCTCTCCGTTTCTGTAAGGATTTAAAGTCTTGGAAATCCAAAGGGGCAACTAAAGTTGCCCTTGTCCTGTACAGTCACAATGAGTTTGAATCGACTTGATGTCACTGGGTTTGGTGTTGGCTGTGCTCTGAAAATTTAGTAGAATTCAGTAATGAAGCTATCCAGTCTGCTTTTTATTTAGTTGGGAATGTTTATTGAACGGGTCAATGTTTCTGTTATGAATTTGTTCAAAGTTTCTACCTCAGTCTATGTTAGGTTAGTTGGTAGTCTCTTTCTAGAAATTTGTCATTTTCTTCTAGATATCCAAATTTGTCGGAGTAAAATTCTTCATATGATATTTTCCTTTTTGTTTCTGTTGGTTTTGTTATGTCCTTGCACATTGAAATTTTTTGCTATTTGCAACATTTTTTGTTGCTACACTTTCCATTGGTTTGTAGAATTTATTAATCCTTTCAAAGAATAAAGTCCTAGTCTTATTTATTCTTTTTTCAGTTTCATTTACTTAGAGTTCTTTATATGCCTATAAAGTCAATTTGGTTGGTGATGTTGCTTTGTTATTCTGTGTCTTCGTTTACTTTCTTTGGAATTGTCCTGTCCTTCATCAAAAGGGATGTATTAAATTCTGCTGCTATTATTATGTAGTTGTTTATTTCTCTGTTAAACTCCATTAAAGTTTGGTTAATGTATTTAGAGATGCATAGATATTTATTACGGATATGTCTTCTTGCTCAATTGACTCCTTCAATCAGTATGTAATTGTATAATGTTCTTCCATATCTCTTAGGTTGGTTTTTATCTTAAAGTCTATTTTATCAGAAATTAATCTTGTCATGCATGCCCAGTTTAAAAAAAATAATTTTCTTGTAACATTTCATAAATCAGTTGTATCAAGCAAATGTGTACATATGTTGCCATCATTTTCTAAATGTTTACTTTCTATTTGTGCCCTTGGTATCAGCTCCTTTTTATTGCCCTCTGCCACCCCTCCTCCCACCTTCGTGATCCCTTTATAAATTATTATTGTTTTCATATCTTACACTGACCGCTGTCTCACCAGACCCATGTTTATGTTGTGCATCCCCCTGGGGGGGCGTTGGTTGGGGGGGTGGGAGATAAGGCATCGATCATTGCCATTGGTTCCCTCTTCCTCCCTTCCTCCCCCCATCTCCTACCTACCCTCCTGGTATCACTACGCCCAATTCTGTCCTGAGGGATTTATCTGACATGGATTCCATGTGTTCTGAGCTCTTATCTGTACCAGCGTACATGCTCCAGTCTAGCCAGAACTGAAAGGCAGGACTGGGGTCATGATAGTGTGGGGTGAGGAAGCCTCAAGGAACCAGAGGAAGATTGTGTGCTATACTGCACCTTGGGTGACTCATCTCTTCCTTGTGATCCTTCTGTGATGGGATCTCCTATTGCCCAGAGATGAGTTTTGGGTCCCTGCCTCATTCTCAACAGGTTTTTGTTGTTGTTGTTTTGGGTCTCCTGGTACCTGTTACCTGATTCCATCAAGACCTCCTGATTGCACAGGCTGGTGTGATTTTTCCACGTGAGCTTGTTGCTTCTCTGCCAGATGGCCCCTTGTTTAACTTCAAGCCTTTAATATCCCAGGCGCTATATCTTTTGATAGTTTTCTAACCACATTTGCTTATGCACACATTTTGTCTTCGGTGAACATGTCGGGAGGGTGAGCATCACAGGATGCCAGGTTGTTAGAACAAAGTGTTCTTGCATTGAGGCAGAGCTTGAGCAGAGGTCCAAAGTCCATCTACTTCCTCCATGTATTGCCATATAAATATATGTACCTAGGCCAATACCTCTAATTTTATGAATTAATATATATATATATAAGTGCACACCTATGTTTATACCTCTTTCCATAGCTTTATTTCCTAGTTCTTTCCTCTGTTTTCTTTTAACTTCCTCCTACCCCACCATCATGCTGGCTCTTCTTCTGCCTTCTCATAATTCTTCAGCTAGATTGCTGTTGCTCCAACACCACCAGGGTCACCTCATTGTTAATTTAATTCCCTAGTTGTTCCCCTGTCTATGGCATTGTTTGCTCACCACTCCTTTCTCCAGCTTCCTCCTTCCACAAAGTCCCTCCAGAACTGTTGGTCCCATTGCTTTCTCCTCGGGCTTGCTTCCTATGCCTATCTTATATAGGTAGGCAAAAGAACAATAATGGAGACAAAACAAAATGAAAATGAAAGATTGAATAAAAAGAGAGAAAAAATGAAAAAGCATATATAATTACAGGTCTGCCCGCTGATCTTTATGACTATCCCCCACTGGTCCTGGGAGTTTGGGGAATTGTCCTCTCCTAGCCTGAAGCCTATTTGGGGCTTCTCAGAGGCTTTGTGGCTTTGCTTTGCTAGCATTGCTGATCTGTTCTGTTCCCTTCTTGATTTGTCCCACTAGGAGGGTGGGGATGTCAAACCAGACTAACTCACTGCTGTTTCTCCCCAATATTGTCCTGTGTCATGGGATGCTCCAGTGAGGGGACATCACATCTCAATCTGTTGTTGGCCCTACAACCCTCTCTGTGCCTTAGCAGCTCCATGCAGGGGTGCAGAGATGTCCTCAGGGCACGGTGTGCCGATATGGGCTCTAGTACCTCGCTCTCTCTATTTCCTTCTTGGTTTGCTTTTCTGTGGGTGTGGCAGGCCAGCCCCTCTCCCTGACCTGTAGGTTTAGTGCTGTCCTCTGTAGCACAAACCTCTAGGGCTGGGGTCAGTTTGTCTCTGCTTGGGGAAGTCCTGTAGACCTCTCTGTTCATGATTTGCTCCAGGTGGCTACGTTGCCCTTATGGTTTGATGCTTGCCCTTTTTTGATTGCCATTTGCTTGATATATATTTTTACACTCTTTGATTTTTAGTTTACTTTGGTCTTTATTTCAAAAGTGTGTACAGAAATAGTGTTCTAGTCTATGAGAGTAAGCAGATAAATAACTATTAGAATCATAAAATATAGATAAGAAACTGTGTTAGTCTGGGTACATTAGAGAAACAAATCCACAGAAACCCATATGTATAAGAGACAGTTCAATATAAAGGGTAAGTGCACATCAAGAAAACATCCCAACCCAGGGCTGCCCAAGCCTACAAGTCCAACATAAATCAATATGTCCAACACAAATCCACAAAGTACTCCTCCATCCCACAAAACACTCAATGATGCCAACTGCAGGAAGAAAGTCAAATCATTGAATGTGTAAGCATCTCAGCATTGGCAGGGGTCTCCACATGCTGCTCCAGTACCCAGGGCTCCACCAGGGTAGGTCCGTGTGGCTTCTCCACAGGGATGTCTTGCAGGAAGTGAGCCTTGCCAGCTGAAGCAGGGAACTGGCTAAGGCAGCTGCACTCTGGTCCAGCCTTCAGAAAGCAAGAGACCCAAGAACTAGAAAGGCGAGGCTACCAAGCCATTTATTCCTCTGCCCTTCAATTAACCCCACATGTGTTTATCAGCCAGGTTGGCACAATAAACTAACTACCTCAGAAAGTATCATAATAAATGTGTATATTTTATTCACATTGTTTGACAACATATTAATCTTGATTGCATTAATTATATAGTAATATATTATTTATTAACACATATTAATATAATTATATTATTTGACAACATATTCATCTTGAATCATCTTGATATGATCTCATATCACCTTGGAAGGAATATGGCAAAGTTAATCTTCATTTTTCACAGATTCTGTATTTGCTAATTTGTCAAATTGCTAAAAGTAATTTTTAATAACCAGTTGAATACATATCATGCTTTCTAAATCATTCATGGACATTTTTAAAGTAGCATATATTGAGTTACCAGACATGCACATTAGCAGCTGAGACTGAGCAAAGCAAAGCTTATTGTTTCAGCCCTCCTAGAATAAACAATGTCTTTTAAAAATAAAACTTTCATTGTGAATTGGGAGAGTTTGCAGAGCAGATCATCAATTTAAACAGTGTTTTTTTGTTAGTTACTTAGTGGCATCTGGCATATTTTCATATTTCTACTTTCTGTTAGTAATTTTAGTATTTAAAGTGGTTCCCCAAGAGTAAAGTCATATTGACATGTTCTCAAGTGTAACAAGGCTGTGGTGTGCATTCCAAAGAAAATAGGTGTGTTAGACAAGCTTCATTATGAGTCACAATCAACTCAAGGGCAACAGACAACAACGATAATGGTAACCTTCATTCACCATGAATTAAAGGGTAGCCATGAGTGAAATATTAATGTGTAAACTATATATCTATATATAGATAGATATATAGTTTATATATACTCACACACACACACACACACACACTTCAATAAACTGTAGTTAAGCACGTTGTTGTTGCTATTAGGCACCATATCGTCAGCTCTGACTGTGACTTTTTATATCACAGAATAAAATATTTGGTTCTGCATTGTCCTCACAATCATTCCGTTGAGCCCATTGTAGGAGCCACAGTGTCAAACCATTTCATTGAGAGTTGTTGTTTGTTTGCTTGTTTTCTGTTGCTAACCTCCTACTTTACGATGTTCTTCTCAAAAGGAGTGAGATAAAGTTTCACCACCCTTGCTTCAAGGAGCATTCTGGTTGTAAAATCTTCTAAAATAGACCTGATTTTTTTTTAAATCAATTTATTGGGGCTTGTATTAGTCTGGGTACTTTGGAGAAACAAATCCACAGTGACCATGTAGAAGAGAGAGTTTTATGTAAAGAAAAGGTGCATCATGAAAACATCCCAACCCAATGCTGCCCAAGCCCACAAGTCCAAC